TTTGCAATGCCTTTAGAGGCTGTGAACTTGCACTGGAAGCTACAGTTGAAATCATAGAACATTTCTTATAATTGCTGTGCTCTGGCTGCTCAAGAGCTTTTGTCAGTGAGGCAAAGAACTATTGAAATAGTCCAGAATGGTTCTTTAATATTCCGGTAGTAGCACAATGAATAATTGTCTGAAACGTCTTCCCAACATTTTGATCAGTAAAAACATTAACCAGATTTGCATGTCCCTATGTAAGTGCTAGCAAATAAAAACTGATGAGTAGACTATAAAAAAAAAAAAAAAAAGATAATAGAAAAATGGTTAGAAACCACTGACAATTTAAATTGCTTGGACAACTGCATGACTGTATAGTTCAGGGTGGAAGATTGGTAACAATAGATTAAAGCAACATGAAACACTTTAAAACTCCTTTTGAATTAGATGTTCCAAAACAGTTTCCTTGCAGAAATAACCAGAGGAGTTGTAGCTCTATGTGGCCTGTAAACCATATACTGTTAGTTCACAAAGAGGTCAAAATGTTTGCAGAGGCTGTTGCATTAGGAAGCAGAGCAGGTATTTGTTTTTCAGATTTAATAGTCATTAATTCTTCACTACAGGACAGTAATCTCTTACAGTTACGAGGTATAGGCACTAATACCTAACTGTCCTTTTGTTAGGATCTCCAGCTGATTTTTTTTGTAATGCAGAAAAATGATTTTAGAAACTTTAGAACTTGTTTGATAGAATCTGTAATAATGACATTTTTCTCATTCTTTAACACAGCAAAATAGGACAAAATCATCTTACTATTAAAAATACAAAAGCGGCTTTTAATCAACCTCTCTGCTTGCAGCAGACTTCCTATTGTTGAAACAGCCTGAAGAGGCTGGGTACTGTTACTGCTTTATGGGTCATAAAGTCTAGAATGCTGCCTGTATTATATGAGACTTGATTGGGTTGGAAATGAAAATTTAACCTTATGCCAACAAAGAGGCATATATTCTCAGCATGGGGAAAGTCAGGTGATAAGTTTCCTACTACCGTGGTGTGTATTTAAAAAAGAAAAAAAAATTTAAAATAAACTTTTTTATTAAGCTGCATAGTGAGCAGGTGAATTTCACCACAGCCTGGCCCTCCTGATTGTCCAAGGGGAGCTCTGAGGCTCCCTCACTGCCCTCGTACCCAGGTTTTCTTCTGAGGGAAATTGGAGCACACAGGGTAGTTGCTGGAGCTGATGATCCAAACCTGTGGTTTGGATCCAGCCACAGGGGCTGCAGTTCCCCAGCAGTGTGCATGCAGACTGCAAATCCCACAGCATGGACAGCAGTGGAAAGGGATGGGAAATCATATCAGTGTTTCAGGTATAATGGGTGGATGGCACTTTGTTAAAAATTACCTTTTCAGTCCAATGGTTGATCTTGTCATACAGTTGGTGACATTTATTTTAGAAAAAAACATGAAATCTGGAGAAAGAAAGCAAGGAAGTATGTGAGATATATGGAGATGTGATGCCTTGTGGCAACTTCAGCTACATTAAAACTGAAAAATCAATAGCATAAAACTGAAAAAAAAATGGCTGCATTTTACAGTCAGTATATGGCATGAAAGAACTGAAAGCTTTTTTGAAATCAGCACTTGCACAATGGAAGTGCCATTTTACTTTTGAGGCAGACAGCAAAGGAGCACTTCAGGAACTGCCTTATACAGAACTGCAGTTTCAGAAACAAATTTAAAACTGAAACACCATCATGGCTTCTGTCCAACAAGCAGTATGGCTCCTTTACTCTTCTGATTGGACTTCTCTAGTGCTGCAGTTACTGAAACACTAGCATGCAGTGCACTACTATAATCCATTTCCTGAACAAAATGAAGTCAGATATAAGGTCAAAAGTAGCAGGATAAAGAGTGATTTGGAGCAGAGTTAATGAATGAATACAAGATATCTGAGCTTCGTCCAGCAAGAAAGACAATTCAGTTTTACTTCCTAGATGTTACCTTGGTAGACAGCTAGCAGATGCTGAGACTGTAACTCAAGCAATGTATAAATAAAATGGTTTTTTAAAATATTGTATATTAAGACATTCAGATTTAAGGAAAGGATCCATTAACTTTCACAATTTTAAACCTAAAACTCCTGAAGCTGTAAGGGTCAAATAATGTACCTTTACATACAACTGAGAAAAAAAGAGACAAGGTAATGATGTAATTATATTTTTTCACATTATATTTCTGAAATTATTTACTTCTGAGTTGCTTTCTTGTCAAAGCAATTATCAATCTTCAGCATACATCAATAGATTACTACAATTCCACTGGCTTTAAAAAAACCAAGTATGCAGGTTGTTCTGTTTGTGGAAATGTCTGCTTTGTTATATACAGCACTTTTGTTATATGTAGCTTTTTTGTTACATACAGCTATGAAAAAGAACTGACATTCTCCAGGTGTGGAAATGAAACAGAGAAAATCAAAAACATAGGTTCTTGAAACTTTGTGTGCTGCAGAACGACTCTTTAGAATAACTTTATGCAATACTGATACCGTTTGCTGCTTCTTGTTGCTTGCATATATTTAATTCAGAAGGGCTCGTTTCCATGAACTGCTGGGCAAGCTCAGGGTGGGAACTGCAGGCTGAGGTGTGTTATTCCATGAATCACAAGTAATTAATTATCTATCCCCAAAGTGCAATGTGATTAACGATTCCATCAGTGATTTACATCTGACACTGTGGTCCATCCAAAGGAGAGCCACATTAGGTCTGCCATGCTAGCAGAGTGCCTAGCGTAGCCACTGGCAGTGTGACAGCTGTTCATGTAGGCATACACATCTGAGCTGTACATCAGCTTGGTGGGAGCCAGTGGCAATGTAGCTTTGGCAGCACAGGGTTTGGCATGGCAATTACAACTGCCTGGGAGCCTCGGCCAGTGCTGAAGGCCTGAAGGCAGCTCTGCATTGCATTTTCCATAGTGTGTCATGGTAGCCTAGGACACCAGGCTGTACTTCCCAGTCTTGGTAGCTTTAGGCTTAATCAACACAAACTGCTCATAACTTTTCCTTCAATGCAGAATTATCCTGGGGAGGGTTAGGTGGGGGGAACTGAATAGATAGGACTCAATATATACACATTTTACTAGGCAAAGTTATTTTTTTTTTCTAAAGGGCTAAGTAGTTGCTTTTTTAAAAAGAGCTGCTGAAAAAGAACACTCCTTTTATTCTGGTATAATGTTATCTCTGATGATCAGGACAATTGTTTAATCATTGTTTTTATGTTCCCAAATGAATATATCATGAATATTCTTTATCAAGCAAAAATATTAATGGCATCAATAAAACCAGTCAGTAAATATTAAAACAACTGAACGTTATAATCAGAGATATCCTCTGTGAGTTTATGGATGGCTAAGTGCACTCTCATACTTAAAGACTGGGGAGGACTCAAGTGGTTGTCACTGAACACCAATGCAGTAAATTAGCACAGATCAGGAAACCACCTGCAACGTGTACAACCAGTTTTCTAAGTATGCAGTTCAGGCTGTGTGTGGTCACTCTCTGCAGCAGGGGTGCTGTAATGCTGCATGAGCAATTTTTCTTGGTTTACTTTCATTGCTCTGTCTTAAAATGAGCAAAATAACTTACTATTTCTAAATGTAAAAATAATTTATGGTGACTAGGAACTGAAATGCTATTTACATACTGCACAGTCTTTCAGAATATTTCCCAGTGTAACAATCCTTGTAAGAGAACAGAAACAAATGATCTGTGTACTTCATGAAAGATAGTTCTTATAAAACTATAAAAAGGCCAAATCTGGTTGCCCTTCTCTTTTGCAAGACTACACAGGTCTGCCACTTTATATTCTGAATTATTTTCTTCAAGTGACTGAGTGTGATGTTGCTACCTCCAAGAGTTCCACAAGCCACTAATGTGTTATGCAGATTATTTTCTCATGTTGCTTTCTTTCGGTCCTGTCTGTGCTGTTCTTCATATATTTCAATATTGTCATATTTCCAAACAATAACCTGCTGATCATTGACAATTCGTCTTTCAGTAGTGTTTTTCTGAGAAGATTTTCAGTAATAGCCCATCAGATTTCTGTATACACAGAAATGTCTTTATGTGAAGAGGAGAGGGAAAAATATCTTTCTGCTATTTAATATCTGCATATAGTGCAATGCAGAGTGGCACAGACTTAGCATTAATTTACAGCTAGCATGTAACAAGAACAAATAGCCGTAATATTTTGTTCGTATTTAACTTGAATACCCCTGCACAACACTGTCTATGTTGTATGGGCTTACTGCTGATCACCAGTCACCTACCAGTACCCTGTTTGGTATATACTATTAACAAGCTCAAATACCTTTGCAACTTTTTAGTTTCTGAAGCATGTGTACATTGTCCATTCAAATTATCTCTAGTCCTGTCCTATCCTTTCAGATTTCCCAGCCCAGCAGTTCAGCAAGATGTAGGTTTGCTTGTGCAGCTACAACATCGCTTCGTCTTTTGATTTGATAATCTCATCTATCTATTTACTTGGGAAAAATAAATTAACATTTGCCAATTAGAAGTTCTTGTAAACAGCCTAGGCCCCAAAAGAGGCTTTATAGATAGCATGCAGCACATTCTGTCTCCTTAATCTTTTTATGAGCTCAATAATCACAGGCAAATCACTAATCTTTCTGTTTTCCTTTCTGCACTGGTAAAACAGTTGTGCTAAGAATATTTTACGGGTTTAGATGTCTTTGCTAAGCTTTGTGAAACTTTCGGGTGTGTTGGAATTTTTGTACAAGTCACTCTATGGTTGAAGCTGAGGAGCTAATAATTTGAATGGGATAGCAAAGCAGAGTAAAATTAACAGACATAATTTGTATTTTGTATCAGTTGAAAGCTTCATTATAAAGGTTCTGGCAATGTGGTGACAAAGGCAGTTTAGGTAGCATCAGGGACCAGCCCTGGAGCTAATTTGTGGGAGCATGTCACTGACAACACTATCTTTGTCCCTTTCCTCTTGCAGTATCGGTCAGGGCGGGATCCTAACCGGGGCGCGGACAATGTTTCCACGAAGTCTTCGGACAGTGATGTCAGCGACGTCTCCGCTGTGTCACGGACAAGTAGCGCGTCACGTTTCAGCAGCACAAGCTACATGTCCGTCCAGTCAGAGCGTCCAAGAGGAAACAAGAAAATAAGGTGAGCACAGGGGGCTGTAATGCCAGTTATAGACAAATAATTTAAGTAACTGCACACTTATCAATATTTGTGTTTGAAATTAACAAAATTAACATTTTCCCTAGAATGAATGTCTTTTGCATCTAATGCTTTTTCGGGTCTTTGTATTACTTCTTTTTAGCCAAGTTTGGTCATCTTGGGTTTTCTAACATACACTGAAATTACAAACATATGCTGTCAGCAAGCATTAGACACGCTTAGATTTGCACTTTTTGAAAACCATTTTGTAAAATACTTAATGTGGCTGAAAAGAGAGTTTAATTTGAAAATTTGTGCCAGCAGAGGCATCTTGTTTTCCTTTTAAATAGAACTGCTGAACTTTTATAGACACATTATTTAATACTTACACAGACCAATTCAATTTATGCAATACTTACACTAGTCAAATTTAACTGTAGGTGTACATCCACTGAAGTGCTTTTGAACAAGATGTATATAGTGTATCTATGACCAAAACAGCATTTCCTGTGCCTGCACCCCGTGTGCACTCAGAGGAGCTTTGACTTTTTTTTGGTGCACAAATGAAATGAATTTTTCTTGAAGGTCTAACCTACCTCCATCACCTATATTAATACTCAGAAAATTGTCCTCTTGAGAGAGATGGTGCATTTGAAAAAAATTGTTTAAACATCTGCTTATATGAGCATTGTTGGGATCACATTGTTTTTGTCATACAGTTCTGTATGCCTATCTAAATGTGATGTATTGGTGTGCGTGTTTTATTTGAAGAGGGACTTAGAGACTGTCTTAAGAAAATGTTTCAAGGCACTAGTGTAGGCTGGAGTCTTAGCCAGCATGATTTACCTTATGTCTGCTTCTATCCTTTAGTTTTTATTTAATTTCTTTTACATTTTCTTTCTTCATGCATGCTCTTCTCCATGACCTTAACTTTAATTTTTTTTGTTTTCTTCTTTCTTTTTGCATGCCTTTTTCCATTTTTGTTGGCTTCAGAAGGACAAGGGATATAGAGGGAAAAAAAGAGGGAGGGCTAGAAGGGGATGAACAAGATGAAGTGTTTCCTGAGGAGGAAGAAAAAGAGGAGGAGGAGGAGGAGGAGGAGGAAAAAGCAAAGGAGCAAGAAATTAATGAAAAAGGGGAAGGGCAAGAGGTGACAGAGAACTGTGATAAGGAGGAAATCAAAGAATCAGGGAATGATGAAAAAGCTCAAGAAGACCAAGCTGAGGAAGGGAAAGGGGATGACAGGTAAAATATACTTCTGTTTCTATAGACTTATTCCTCTTCCTCCCCTACCGGGACCCTACTTGTTTTCCATTTTTATTCCCTTTGCTTGCTTATTGTCTATGCTGTCTGCAGCTTTTTTTTTTTCACTCATGATGCTTTCATATTTAATCAAGTTTCACTCTCGGCTTCAGTGAACTTGTTCTGCATACCAAATGATGCAGCACACAAACTTGACTCATTAATATGCATGCAACCACAGCATATTACTTTTTAAATTGGTTTAGACTAAAGTTTGGACTTGATTATAATAAACAGTAGAAAGTGTAAGATTCCTTGTTATATTCCCTGCTTGAATTATTATTTCAGGGAAAAATCTTTCATTGAGTTGATTTAATATCCCATCAATATCAAAATTATTACTTTCATCTGTGTCAGTACTAAAGAAGACAATTTGGGGATTTTGGTTTGGTTTGGTTTTTTTGTGGTTTTTTTTTTTTTACTCCTCTTTGTGTAGGTTGATAAATTGCACATATTGATTGACAATCAGTGTGGCTAAGCAGATCCTACCCTTTTTTTCCCCATGTGAATAACTGTCAAGGATTGCTCTGTTGTGGAAGGGTCATACACCTCTGCTGCTGTATTGTGTCCAGAAACATTTCAGCACAACTGGCTCTGGTTTTGTCAGATAATGTTCTAGAATTATACGTTTTACCATGAATCTGTAAAACTATTTAAATTTCTGACATTTTTGTGTTGCAAATCCATGTTATTTTCTTTAAGAGAAATACAATATTCTTTCTTTCTTTCTTCTTTAGCAAAACATGAATTAGATTTGATGAAATTCTTGAACTCTTTCTCACTCACAGAAGAATGGCAGAAAATATCAGAAAAATTACTTTCTTTTAGCTTACTAATTCTGCACTGCCTCTAGATAACTTATGCCTGTAAAACTGCTCATATACTTTAGGGTAAGCACAAAGCAGTCTGTGGCAATCCACTTTCTTTGCTGCAAACAAATGTCCTCACACACAAGCATGCTCAAAACAAAGGTAATGCAAAGACAGAATCAAAATGCCTAGGGTTAATCTGGGGTGGTATGAGCTAATATAGCCATGCTGCTGTTATACACTGTGACATTATGCCTTCACTCATGTCTATGCATTTAGAATTTAGCAAAAAGCAGTTGTTTTGCAGACATCTGTCTTATAGAGTGCTTTGGCATACAGGTTCCTGGGACTGCTGTATGGTAGTGTGTGAAAGGATGATTTCAAGACCTTTTTCCCCCCCACTTCTCACTAAGTTCCCAGTTTAAAGGATCTGGAAGTCCTGCCTTTCGAAAGCATTTGAAACCATTCCTGGTTTCTAGATTTCACTCAGGTTAGTCTGAGTTAGGCTGTCCCTCATAGAAAGTAAAGTCTTCTCTGAGAAACAAAGTCTTGTTCCCTGTGCCAGCTTGTTCCTCTGGTTGTTAGCTGCTTTCAGCCTTCAGAAAGAAGCTAGACAAGTCAGGAGTCCCTGCTGGATAGAGAAGCAAGATGTTTTTATGTGCTGTTGTGCAGTGACTTTTGTTTGCGTTGGAATTTGGCTCCCTATGTGGAAATCAGTGTCTAGTATTATTTGTCCACATTTCTCATTTTGACCACTTTTAGTATGTAAGTTGTGAGTAAAAAGAAAAACTTCCTTATATCCACCTTCCTTTCCCATGTTACAGTAATCACTCATTTTTAGTATTGTCCAAATATTTTTCTAGGATAAGAACCAAACTGAAAAATACAGATTGATTCCTATATAGGTGCAGGTATAGAAATATATACACGTTTATATACACACACTGTTTTGTATCATTAACATATTGAATTATCATGACTTACATATTTAGTGGACAAGCCTGAAGGCAGGATCAATTGTCAGCATTGCTGTCAATTCAGTGCCTTCTGCTTGTTTCTATGGCAATGTATAAGATACCTTATACCTGGAAATTTATAAGATAAGTTAATGATTTCATCTTTCAAAAAAGCCTGTGTTCAGACACATGACCAATATTAAACAATCACCAAACATATCAATTAAACATATCAATAGGTAATTGAGAGTCTCAGCAGAACCAAGGGAGCCAGTACATCCATAATAGAATAGTAGTAAATTATCTTCTAGTTCTTAAGATCTTGAGCATAAAGAAAAGCTATATTTCAGATGGGAATTTTCAACATATATTTTTACTTCAGAGGTACATCTTTAGTTGAATTCCAGTCACCTTTCTTCTGGGAAATCTGAAATGCAGGGCCTGCTCACTATCACTCCATCATCAAAAATTACCTCGTTAAGGTTACATCATACCTCTTGATGTCACTGTGCTTATATACTTTTTGAGTAATGGCAATAGTCACACTAAGGTCTTCAATCTGCTGAGATCATAGATGGGTTCAATGTAACTTAAATGACTGTGAAGACAGATATCCATCATGGATTCATCCCATGCCTTTTTTAAAGTGTACATCAGAACAATAAAAACTGCATTAGCTTTAGGAGCACTGGAGCACACTAAATCAATTCATCTTTTTTGGCAGAAATAGCTGCAGCATCAGATTTTGCCTTCATTAAACCTTGTAAAACTAAACCTTGGCATATGGTTGATCTATAGGGAAATCATAATTGTGTTCTTTCTTGGCAATACATGTTAGTAAAAAGAAAGAGTGGCTCAAGCTTTGCTGCTGAGTATTCATTACGTACAGTTCCCTGACATTATTTCTTATTCCAACTCCTTGATGATCTCAGGGACAAAAATAAACAAACAAAACCCAAACAAAACCAAACAAAAAGCCAAACAGAATTTTAAAACCCAAACAAAACAGCAGCAACAAACCAGTTAAAACAAACCCACCTTCTACCCACCCCCAAAACAAAAAAATATATCCCTCAGATCTAATCTATGAGGATTCGTAATTTTTATTGCAGGTAATCTGTTTAAGAGCGCTCTAAATCTTAGCCTTCCATAACATTTTTCTACATATGAAACCTAAGCATTAATTCTGATAGTCACAACAGTTTTCTTCACATATATACACAGCAATTGTAATCACAGAGCAGGATTTCACTGCTGAAATACAGTAGAAAAATATAACTTCACTTCCAAGCACACAGAGTCTAAATCATGAAAAAACATGTGAGTCCAGTGAGGGAAGCACTGAAGAACTATGAGATGTTCCACATGACAGGAGATATTTACAGCACTGGGTTGGGGACATCTTGACAACACAGAGTGCCAAGGGGAGATTTGAGAAAACAAAATAATATAACTTTGTGAATGTTTCTGGAGAGCTCTTTTCAAGCATTCAAGGCAATGAGGAGAAAACATGAGGTCCTTACTAAAAATGTATCAGGTGGA